AAAAGCATTTATCTATAATTGAGTTTTCATAGTTGCAAATGAAATCAGTGTACTCATTTAGGAAATTTATGCTAAATAAAAACATGCTCTTTGATGTGAATAAAGTTATATTCAATCCAACTAATCAATGTACTATAAACAAATTATAGGTATTGATGCGGATGTAAACCTAGCTTCTTTTTCCACTACAAACTCACAAGATAGCTCTTCAATAGGTATGGATCATTTTGTTCCACATTGTTAGATATCCATTTGAAACTATTGTCCAAAGAACTATAATAAGAATACGTTATATTTTGTAGTGTCAACTCCATTGTACAACAATTTGGGCCCTCCTCAATATGAATGCAAAGACTGCAAGGCCGTATTATGGGGTGCAGAAAGAGTTGACAAAACCAAGCAAACTAAAAATCCTTCATTTTCACTTTGTTGCCAAGAAGGAAAAATCAAGCTGACACCATTTAGAAAACCACCAATCTTGCTAAGGAGATTATTGAACCCTAAAGGTGATCAAGACTCTGTTGTCTTTAGAAGGAATATCAGAAGGTACAATGGATCATTTGCATTTACAACAATAGGTGGTAATATTGATAGAAGTGTGAACGAGAATGGTCCTTTTGTCTATTGAATAAGTGGGCAAAATCATCATAAAATAGGCTCATTGCTACCACCTATAGGCAAAACTCCAAAGTCTGCCCAACTCTACATATATGATACAGAAAATGAGATAGAGAACAGGATGAAGTGTTTGCACACTAATGATGGTGATGATTTGGATCCTAGCATAATACAAGGATTGATTGAAATGTTTGATACACATAATCCCATTGTTCAAGTATTCAGATCAACAAGGGACCGATTTAAAAATTCAGACAATGTTGAACTGGGCATTCGTTTGATTGGAAGGAGGGAATCAGATCCAAAGACCTATGAAAGGCCAACGACTTCTGAAGTGGTAGCACTAATAGTTCGGGACTTGGGGAATTGTGAAGTTGGAAGAGATGTAGTTGTTGAACATAAATACGAGGGACTAAAAAGAATCACAGAGTTGCACCCACTTTTCATGGCACTACAATATCCCATTTTATTCCCTTATGGAGAAGACGGCTATCATGTTGGAATTCCTTACCATAAAAATGAAGGAAAGCGCAAGACAAAAAGACAAACTCTAACAATGACTGAATATTATGGGTACATCATTCAATTCAGGAGAAATGAAGGAAACACATTGATACTAGGTGGGCGGCTATTCCAACAATTTGTGGTTGATGCATTCATAGCAATTGAAGAAGAGCATCTACGATATGTTAGAAATGAACAAGACAAATGGAGAATGGAACTTTACAAAAATGTTTGTGACGTAATCGTTAGAGGGGATACAATGGCAGAATCTGTTGGGAAGCGCATTATATTACCTTCAAGTTTTACAGGAAGCCCAAGATACATGATACAAAATTATCAAGATGCAATGGCAATTTGTAGAAGTTTGGGATATCCTGATCTATGCATCACTTTCACATCAAACGGAAAATGGCCTAAGATCAAATACATGCTCAACAAGATACCTGGTCAAGATGTTGAAAATCGACCTGACATTGAAGCACGAGTTTTCAAATTAAAGCTTCAACAGCTAATGAAAGACATCACAGAAAAGAAAGCGTTTGGTACAGTTATTGGAGGTATGATCTAAGTTCACTCATATACATCAATTTAATACCATATACTATAAATGATTAATCAAATTTTATATTTTTTAACAGTCATGTACATGATTGAGTTCCAAAAAAGAGGACGCCCACATGCACATATACTACTTTGGTTGGATCCAAAAAATAAAATTATGAGCCCAGAAGACATAGACAAATTTGTCTCAACAGAAATACCATGCAAGGAAACAAATCAAGAAGCATATGCAGCTGTGTCACAATTTATGATGCATGGACCATGTGGAGTTGCAAACAAACGTTCTCCATGCATGGTGGACGGTTGCTGCAATAAAAGATTTCCAAAAAGATTTTATGACCAAACAACAATAGATGAAGAAGGATTCCCAATTTATCAAAGAAGGGATGATAATAGAACTGTTAAAAAAGGTGGCATCTTACTTGACAACAGGTATGTGGTTCTCAATAATAATGATTTATTATTAGAGTAATAAGCACATATAAAATTCAAAGTTTCAAATATCTTAAACACTATAAATTCACTATCCAAGTTTATGACTAGCAATGATTCCATTTTATGTGAAAATAGGTATGTAGTTACTTACAACAAATATTTGCTACTTAGATATCAAGCACATATAAACGTTGAAGTTTGTAATAAGTCAAAGGCTATAAAGTACATGTTCAAGTATATAACTAAAGGCCCAGATAGAAGTAAGATTGTGATAAAAGATAATGTCTTCATCAACAAGGACAAAATTATAGAAAATGAAGTTGTCAAAACAGCTCCAGTTGATGAAATCAAGCAATACTTGGATTGTCGATATGTCTCAGGATGTGAAGCTTGCTGGAGAATCTTCCACTTTGATATACATTACAGGAATCCGTCAGTCATGCGATTGTTTTTCCACTTAAAAGATGAGCAAAAGATGGTATTAAGAGATTCTCAAAGTCTAACCGAGGCCATCGAACAAGAAGGGGTCAAAGACACTATGTTCACCAAATGGATGGAAATGAATGTAGAAAACAAGGAGGCTAGATCATTGACATATGCAGAATTCCCAACAAAATTTGTTTGGAATGGAAAAGAATGGACTAAAAGAAAGAGAGGTCGAACAATTGGAAGAATTACATATGCACACCCTACATCTGGAGAAAGGTATTACTTGCATATTCTATTAAATGTTATTCGAGGACCTCGCACCTATGAGGAGCTCAAAAATGTGAATGGCACACAACACACAACATTCAAGCAGGCATGCTATGCTTTTGGATTAATTAGTGACGACAAAGAATGGAATGATGCAATTGATGAAGCGAGACACTGGACGATTGGACCTCAACTAAGAGAATTGTTCATTACAATTCTACTTTTCTGTGAAGTAAATGACCCAATCCAATTTTGGGAAGTCAATTGCAAAACACTTTCAGAGGACATACCATTCAAATTGGTACATCAATTCAATTTCCCAAATTTGAAATTCACAGAAGACCAAATCAAGAACTATTGTCTGTTGGAGCTTGAAAGAATGCAAAATCGCAGTGGTAAATCATTGTCCGATTATAATGGCATGCCATTACCAAACATGAATCTTTTATTTGGAGCAGATAATAGGCTAATCAAAGAAGAGCTCAATTACGACATTAGGAAGATGAAAGCAGATCATGATAACTTTTACATCTCATTAAATAACCAGCAGAGAGAGATATACCACAGAATACTTGATGCAGTGGAGCAAAAGGAAGGAGGCATCTTCTTTGTTTATGGACATGAAGGAATAGGAAAGACATTTTTGTACAAAACAATACTATCAAGACTGAGATCTGAGAGAAAAATAGCTTTGGCTGTGGCTTCGTCAGGTTTGAACAAAATATTAAATTATTTTCTTCAATTTTATTTAAGTATTGCTTTAACTTATACATATGTCAAAATGCCATTTAGGTATCGCATCACTATTGTTACTTGGAGGCAGAACAGCACACAGCTGATTTGACATCCCACTTAAGCTATTTCAAAATAGTACATGTGGCATAAGACAAAATACAAATTTATCTCAATTATTATTGCAGACATCTTTGATAATATGGGATGAAGCTCCAATGATGCAAAGGTATGCCTTTGAAGCAGTTGATAAAACATTCAGAGATATAATAGGATTCAAAGATAAGGCTGCAAGAAACAAACCTTTTGGAGGCAAAATTGTGGTTTTGGGAGGAGACTTTAGGCAAATACTACCAGTTATACCAAAAGGCAAGAGACAAGAAATTGTTGAAGCATGCATAAATAGGTCCTATCTTTGGAAAAGTTGTGAAGTCTTTGTTTTGGAAAAAAACATGCAAGTATCTAAAACAAATGCAAAAGGATTACCTGATGTAGCCAACAAATAGTTTAATAAATGGTTGCTGGACATTGGAGATGGGAAGATACAAGCGATTGCAAAAGAAGGTGAGGAGCATGCAACTTGGATAAAAATACCAGACGAATTTTTAATAGCTAGGGCA